AAGCATAAGTTTTCGTCCTGCATTTTTTCATTTTCAAGTAACTCTATAGTCGTCAAGATAGACGAGTCTTTTTGTAATTAGTTTTTACTGTGGGATGAGTTTTAAAATTTACCTGGAGACACTTTATTTCGAAATGGATGACCACCGTTCAACGGAACATTCCCACAAAAAACTTGTATCTCATCATATCCGCTTTTCTCTGGAATATAATAAACATCAAAGTCGCTAGCCTTGTGACTCGAATTCCCGGTAAACTGCAGCCAAAAGCTAGCTATAATTAACATCCTGTAATCTGTATCATAAGATATCAGCCAAAAAAATGTAGGAAAATGGACTTACATTGTTCATTGGGTCAACAACTGGAGCAGAAGCAATTTGCATCAGATTATTTTCTCCATGATCCAATCTTCCAGAGTAAAAGCTATCTGGCCAAGAGTACATGGGCCTCAAAAGTTAGTTAGCAAAAGTATCCCTCAAGTTTAGTCTAATTACAAAAAAAATCCAGCTATCTTTCCAAAGCACAAACACCACCCTTAATACTTGTACTTGTAAATCTAAAAGATAAGTGAGACTCTTTGTGCAACTATACAAACCTTCAGGGGCAGTTATGAAGTTTAACCTTGTAATAAAAAGCAAAAACATCTGTTTATATAAAAAAAAACAACAACTTCATTTGTACCATTATGAGTCTCCTTTATGTGTACACTCGAATGTATAACCTGAGAATCAGATTCCCGAATTATTCGAACTTGAAGGCTTTCTAACTCAACCGGCGAAGGATATAAATAAGCATCCTTCAAGAAAACCGAGAATTTCGCAATCTCCCCAGCAACCGAATTATTCAGACCCGACCCATTGACTATACTCTTCACTCCATCACAATAACCTACGTAAACAGTAAATTCATACGGCGTATTGGAAATGAGCGTTTTCTTTTCTTTATCAGATATCACAAGCGTGAATTTTCCAGGCTCGTGCAAGCTGAAGGAAAATGATTGCATCCCAGGGCTTATATCTTTTAACATTAAATCAGCCACTGGCATTGACAAATTAGTTCCAAACTCAATAACTTCAATGTCGAATGCGTAAAGCTGTGGGACGAGGTTTCCATATTGGTCGTGCTGGTTTATCGAGCCTTCCATTTTTGAAAATAATTGGAAATACTTTGTTTCTATATTTAGACGAGCCGTACAGCTCTGCACATCCAGACTTCCTGTTAAAGAAACATTCAGAAAATATATAAATTTGATTGTAAATGATATAAAAGTTTATTTTCAAAAATTTTATATGAAATTTAACAGTACTTGAGCAAAGAAAATTCCAAATTTCAATAATTATATGCACGTGAATCACCTGGAATAACCGAGAATGGGAAAGGCGAGTCGTGGAGAGTTTGATTCTCAACTTCAACATGAAGAAATAAACTTCCAGCCGTGATTGTAATAAACTCGATACTTATAAAGCCTTGTTTATTCCAACCTTTGTGGGCTATATCGACCAAATTTGCTGACGAGCCATTTTGGGTCAAAGCAAACAGAGTGAAATTATGATGAAATTCAGATTCTTGGCCGTCTAACGATACATTATTTCCGAATGCATCTTTCGGAAGGATCAATATTTCAGCTTTTGTTCCGGCTAAAAACTCGTCAATTCCGTTGGCCCATGATAATATTCCTGCTGCCGGGTACATTAGGCCTACACAATAATATATTTTCATGAATTAAATTGAATTAATAATTTAGACAAGAAAAAAATTAAGTTGAACCTGGGTTGACTTGGAACTGCAATGAAGCATCCATAACGCGAAAATGTACATCTTCAATAAGCACGTGAAATAAGCCGACCATGATCGGAGTAAATAAAATCCTCCAGTTTTGACTGTCGCCGTTAAAGTTAAAATTCAACCCTGTAATAAAACTGCTATTTCCAGTTCTGTCATTGACCGTGATGTTGGGGTTAAAAGGGGAATTGTATTTTCCGCTGTCATAATTCCATAGGACTGTGACTATGATCGTGGCTATGTCACCCGCCGTGAAACTATCTTTCTCGTCAAGCCAACCGAATGCAAATGCAGGGATTGCTGCGTTTTCTGCACCAAATATTTCAAGCGTTAAAAAATACTTTAAAAAAGGAAAACATTCAAACAGAAAAAATGTCGACATTTACCTTGTTTCGCAGGTTGAAGGAAGAACAGTGTTACGAGGGAAAGGAGTAGAAGTACTTGGGATGCCATTGTTGAGATTGTGATGTTTTTTTTTTTCTTT